TATATATATATATATATATTTTATGAAAAGCCCAAGGGCTGATTTTATTGAAATAGAAAGGATACATAAAGGTTGTATGAGAGAGCTCAAAAGAGGTACCCTGCCCATACGATACAAGTACAGTAATATTCAAACAAAAAAATACAAATAAACTCAATAAAAAGTAAACTAAATTTAAAACATACAGAAAACAAGTAGCTAGGAACGAGTCAGTTTAGTGTTGTCTTTTCCTCTAGTTTTAGGAGCGGAGCCAGATAACAAACTTTGAAGAGTCGTGTAATTATCAGGAGTAACTAAAAGATCATCCATTAATTTTTCAAGTTGGAGTGTGCCCCTAGCCATCTTCTTCCGCCAAGAAGTGTAAACCTGTCATTCTTCATCTGAAAACTGGATCATGTGATCTTCAGTTTGATTTGATGTTAGAACTGCAGTAGAAAAAAAGACAGTTGTTGCCACCGCGATATATATGATTTACATATGTCACTTCAGCAATATATGAAAATGTGAATTTTATTTATAAAAGTTAAAATAATATTATTTTCGATGTGATATGAATGATTTGAGTGGTATAAATATATTTAAAAAAAGTGTTAGTAGGTGGTATGTTGGTATGTATGTATATGTATATGCAAATGTATACACACAGACAATTTTTTTATTCATATTTATGTAATTTTAGTATTATAATATATACATGAAAAATGTAGTTGATCTCTTAAAAATAAAATAATAGTGATATTTTTAATATGATATTAAAGAATTAAATGCCATTTATGAGAATTTTGTGGTATGTTTGTAAATGGCCCGATTTAAAAATGAACTCCCAAGCAGTCACAGCCAGCGGTGGAATCAAGGGATGGCTGGTGGAGGTGCTCGTCAATTTTTATTAATTTTTCTAATAACATATAATATATTGAAAATTTAGTCTTTCATGTGTAAATACTTAATAATATTTTAATCTTTTGTATAATATTTATAGTAGTTCTAAAAAATTAAAAGAGGTCGACAGTCTTCCTCTCCTTAACTTCAAATTTCGTGGACTCAAAGCGAAGCTCAAGAACAAACTCAATTGAGGTCTCACCACTTCGGCGAAGGTATAACCTAAAATCCCTAATTTTGCTTCGGTTCGGACTCTTATGAAGAGAACTTGTATTTCATATGTATTTAACGGTATAGATAGGTTCGTCTCGCTTAGATAAAGGTGTAGGAACAAATCTCATGCAATTTGGTTAAAAATGAAGCGAGATATTAGGATTAGAACGAGGACATATTTCGGGTAGGACGATCAGGAACGATGAACGGATGTCGTCCATTCCCGTGTGTATCGGACGGACGAACAGGATCGTGTCGGACGAAGAGATGGAACTTGAACCGTGGGCGTGCGTGGCAGCTGAGGTGTAAAGTGCAAAGAATCAGTGGGCGACGCGTGGTCTCTCGACGGCTCTGAGGTTGCTTTGGCGGCTGACTCGGATAAGTTAAAAATTAGGGTATTTTCTATTTAAATTAATTTTGAAACTTTAAAAATTTATATCTTTGTGTAGAAAAATAATAAAAATAAAATAAAAATACGCTTGTGCTCAGTGAGCAGAAGAGAGAAAATATGAACTAAAAATCAAATATGTTTTCCTTGTATTTAGTTTTTCAATTAATTAAATACTCTAGAAGGAAATTAAAACATAATTAATTAAATAATTATCAAAATTAAGTAAAATTTTGATGGTTTGTTCTTAATGAACTTAGGAGTCTTCTCTGATTTTTTCAAGTAAGAGAGAACTTCGGTGACCACAAATCCTAATTTTTAAGATATTTGACATTATGTTAATTAAGAAAATTATAAAAAATAACATAAAGGTCAGAAAAAAATAAAATCATGCTTGGTGGGTCTACTGTGGTCAGAGGACCTTATGAAAAATAAAATCCAGATTAAAAAGTTTTCAAATTATTTTTATTATTTAAAATTAATAAAATTAACTAAAAATTAGAAAAATATAAAAGAATTCAAATAAACACCAAAATGGGCCAAATTATAAGTAATCATATCAGGTGGCATCTAAAAAAATTTGAAAGTTAGAAAAATTATTTTTTTAATATAAAAATCTATATATAAAAATCTATTTTCTAAGTAAATAATAATTTTGGCTTAAAATAATTATAATAAATAAAAGAAAAATAAAAAAAAAATATGAAAATGAGTTTGGAGTGTCCCTTGAGACCAGAGGAACTTAAGAAAAATAAAATTAGAATTAAAATACAAACTTTTTTTTTAAGTTATTTTTTTAAATTTAAAATAATTAAAAATATAAAAAAACCACAAAAATATGAAAATATTCCAAAATATCATGAATCTCATCTTAATTACACAGAACCACTAAACAATGCTTTGCTAAAATTTTAAATTATAAAACTATATTTTTAACATCTAAATATATTTTTTCCCAATTTTAAATAAAATAATTACAATAAATAAAAAAAATCAGAAAAATATGAAATTTACTTCTCTGAGTTCCTTGAAGTTAGAGAGTCTTAGGAAAAATATAAAATAAAATTTTGAAATAAAATTTTATTTCTATTTATTTATTCATTAAAATGTATTACAAAATTGTAAAAATTAAATACAATTAAAAAATTCATAAAAATTATTTCTAGTGGTCCTCAAACCTAAGCGAACCTCTAATATTTTCTTATAAGGATAGAAGGTATATCTTAGATAGTTAAATTAATTCTTAATAAAAAATTTTGTTTTTGGACAAAATAAATTATTAAAAATTAAATAAAAACAAAAAAATATATAAATTCTCTATAATATTTAACTCACTCATGAGTAGTTTAACAACAGATTTTTAAGGTCATTTGAGTTAAATTGAGAGAATTATGAAGTGGAAAGCCTTAAAGGCAAAATGGTAATTATGAAATTTTAAACTTTAATTAAAATTTAGGTCAAATCAGAGGGTAATCATAATTAATTCTCTTAAAGGATTGAAACATAAAGGGTTAAAAGTTAGCAACCAATTTATGTTATTTTATATGAAAGGGTAAAAGTGTAATTTTCCAAATTTTTATGGTTTGGAAGTAAATTAAGTTGGAAGATCCTACTGTGAAGGGCTTGATCTAGGAAGATGATAACCCAATAATTTTTTGCCCTAAATCAATGATTAAATGATAATACAATCTTTTAAAAAGAATTAAGTTCATCTCTCTCAATATTTTTCAAAATTACAAATCTACCCATAGGACTTAAGAGCTTAATAGTGAACTAGGCTTGATCTAAAATCACTTAATAAGATTTAGAAAAAAAGAACAAAATCAATTATAACTTCCTTAAAACACTACAAGCTCAATCTCAATTGAAGAGGAGAGAATTCCCTATTAACTTAATTTGCCCTTAAGGGTGTCTACTCACATAATTTCTAAATAAAACTTCAGATGAATGTTTATTTACTCTACTTATAGGATAATTAAAATCTTAAAGTTCACTGAGTATATGTTAAAACACCACAACTAAACCCTAATTTAACAAAGGGACGATTAATTCAACAAGGTAATAAGTTCCAATGAACTCAAAATGATTCAAAGGGTTTTAAAAGATGTTTATGGTCATGCCCTGAACACCTTTACAATCTTTTGGGACATTTTAGAGGACATCAGAACTTATTATTCTTTGTTGAAAAAAATCATCTTTAAAATCTTAAGGACCCACCAAGGTATGACTCAGGACCTGTTAATTCACATTTCGAATAAAATACCCTACACTACTTATACTACATTAAAAACCCAATGCTCAAGAAATTGAGTCTTGGATAAGGTATTTAAATCCTTGTGAGAAACTGATAATATTTTACCACATATGGATTATCGGACTAGTTTAAGTTTGAGGTCTACGAAGAAAATAATGCTTATGTGTGTTAAGCGAAGGATACAAAGTCGGATTTGGAATAGTATCTCATATCTCAAGGATCCTTCAGAAAAGGGGATAGGTTCGATGATACTATTCACCAGCTTTTGGTAGATGTTGCACCTGACACTCTTAGGTTATTGGTAGTTCTAGTCTGATAAGAGTAATTTACTAATGGACTATATTACTTTACAAAGAAATATACCTACAATATAGAATGACAAAAAAATTTT